CCGGTGCGCGCCCGTCGCCATATCCCAGAGCCGGATGGTCCGATCGTGCGAAGCCGACGCGACCGTCTTGCCGTCCGGCGAGAACGCCACTGCGTAGACCCAATCGCCATGGCCCTCGAGCGTCGCCCGGTGCGCGCCCGTCGCCATATCCCAGAGCCGGACGGTCCGATCGCGCGAAGCCGACGCGACCGTCTTGCCGTCCGGCGAGAACACCACTGCTTTGACCGAATTGCCATGGCCCTCGAGCGTCGCCCGGTGCGCACCCCAGTGGTCTCTAATGCCAGCGGTCATTGCAATAAAGGACAGCCTTTCCTCCCAATACCGCTTTCTAATCACGCTCAAAGTTGGGCTGAATACGAGCGCGGAGCCATATGTCTGCAAGGGAGCCCGCTCTATGATCGATCTGTGACTGAAAACAAACTTCTCTGCGTCATCCAACAGCTCAAGAAGGTGAGGGTTGATGTCCGGTTGCGACTGGTAGGATTTAGTAACTTGACACTAATACGACATCAACAACAACATACCTGAGCGGCATGCAGAATCTTTCTTATCGAGAGCAGCCCACTGGAAAGTTGCCCTATGAGAGATAAACTCTCAAGCCAACGAAGGAAGTATTCCTTCAGAAATCCAAATACTTTCCCGTCGTCCGTCAGTTCTCTTAGGCGCCTAGAGTCGTCGCCGTTCAGGGAGCAGAGATGGTCGGCCCAGAAGACGCAGGAGTATCGCAATGCAACCAACGGATCTGGATCAGGAGGTGGCATATCCCTTGGCTTGAAGCCGAAGTCGAGGCCGTGCATGTTGTGTCTTAGCGTCGAGGACATCGCGTCCAGTGAGCGCCTGCCGATGTCGGCGTGCCCTTGAGCGGGCCCAGTTGGCTGAAGTCTAGACTTGTAATTCTCCTCCAGGTAGACCTTCGCCGACTGGTGGATCAGGCTGACCGTTTCCTTGCTGAGTGTGAGAAATGAGCCGCACATATCAACGACCGCCTTCGTGATACGGGGTGGCAACTCGACAAGTACGGCAAGTTCCGGTATAGAGAGCGGGCGGAATGCAAGAGTCGTGGCCACCAAGACCGCCTTACAATCTTGCGGATCCACCGTTTCCCCACGCTCGATCCTCGTCATCATGTGACCGTACAAGTCGGACAAGCCAGGAGGCATCTCTCTGATGCGCTTCACGGCGTACCATCCGTGGACTTTTTCGAGAACTTTGAACGCGAGAGCCACCCAGAGGAAAGTGTTCCCTGCTCGTTCGCGGACTTCCTGTGATACCTTGGCCAAAACGTCGTCGTCGTATCCTTCACTGCGCTTGAGGATCGTGAGCTTGTGATGAATGTATGCGTTGACAGGAGCTGCCAGACGCTGCGTATCCAGCTCGACAAGGGCCTCGGAAGTATGCAAAGAGTTAGTGGATGCTTTCGTAAGCTCAGCTAGAAGGTCGACCTCCGGGCGGCTAGAAAGCAGCCACTTCACCTTCGGCGTGAGAGTGAGTGAAGTCGCGACGAGACGAATAAGGTCCGACCGCCCCTCCGCACACTCGTCTAGTGCATCGACGACGAAGTACACCGGCAACAACTGAGGGTCCTCCAGCATATTCCAAAACGCCTCGGACAGAGCGTAGAAGGCGTTCTTGTCCCGGAAGAGATCTGCGCCGGACTCCTTGTACTTCTGTAGCAAATGCGATACAAGACAGGGCTGCTGAAGAAGCAGAAGCCAGATCAAAGAGCGGAGGACGGCGGTAGCGTTGTTCAGGGCCGCATCGGTAGCTTGACAGAAGAAGAAGGAAAGCGCCGGCGCTAGGGCGACGGGTTGGCGGGAGAGTTGGCGGATGAGGCCGATCACGAGCATCGTCTTCCCCGTACCGGCGTGTCCCTTTATCCAAAGCAATCGGCGCGGCCGCAGATCCGGTCCGCTATCTTCCCAGCTGGTGAAGGCTGCATACTCCGGGGTGCGGAGGATCCACTCATACGCGTCGTCGAGCAGCTCATCCTTGCTCTTCTCGATCCGCTCCATGTCGTGTTGCGGATCAACGACGCGGAGATCTCTGCGGCACGCTGCCTCGGTATCGTCCCTCCAAATGTCCTTTTGCAGAGAGATGAAGTCTCGAATGTCCTGATGGATGTCGCCCAGCAGCGCCTCCATCCCCTCCGTGCGCTTGACGAGCTCCCCCAGGTATGATTTCGCGTGCTCTTGGAAGTACTGCGCTGCGTCGTTCTGAATCGTCGCTTCTGCGTTCGTGACGTGGTTCAGATCGCCGTCCCAATCATCCAACGTAAGGA